CCCTTAGGTGCTCTCCCGGGTAATCAGCAATGCCCCAGTAAACACAGATAAGATCCTACAGGCCTTTCTCCTGCCAGGTTAGTTCCTCAACAGCTCGCCTGATAGCTCCGGGTGATTTGTGGATCCTGGCATAGACTGATGCACGCATCCAAAGCTGTGTTTGTCAATTCAAACAAATCAATCGATTCCTGGGGCCATATTTTTTGCAAGTGCCTTCCACACTGCCAGTGAAATTTTTTTTTTTTTTTAACTTTTTATGTGTGTACTGTCAAATTGGATCTGACTGGTACAGGAAGCAATTGTTCCTCCTTCTTCAGCAGAGCATCCAGTGGATTTGAACCACGCACCTCTGGGATTGCAGTACAGTTTCCTGCCACTAGGCCACCAGAGCTCGCCGCCAGTGAAATATTTTAAAGATATAAATCTGATGATGCTTCTCTTTTATTTAAAATCTTTTCTTGGCACTTTGCAGTTTTGTAATAGAGTTGGAACTCTTGCTTGATTTGCTTCTTTACATCTTTTTTTTTTTTTTTGATACATCATTATCTGTCAATTTCAAACATGGGCCTTTTGTTCTGGTTATGACTTCACAACAGCTGATTTTATGCTCCTTTTCTTTTTCTTTTAGTCCTTTACCCTTCTTGACCATAGCTAATTATGACCGTGAAAATTTTATTTTTTCCTTCCTTCCTTCCTTCCTTCCTTCCTTCCTTCCTTCCTTCCTCCCTCCCTCCCTCCCTCCCTCCCTTCCTATTTATTTTTCTTTTGTACTGTCGAAAGGGATCTGACCTGTACAGGAGGATATTGCCCCTCCTTCTCCAGTGGAGCAACTGGTAGATTTGAACCATGCACCTATGAGATTGCAGTGCAGATTCTTTCCACTAGACCACCAGAACTCCCTTTCAACATTTTATTATAAAATTTTAAACATAGAGCTGAGGTGAAAGAATTTTACAGTGACCGTATATGTAGAGCTTATCACTCCCAATATTACAATAAAATTTTTTTATTGTACTTAGTTTATCACATACCTGTCTATGTACTTACTATTCATCCATTAATTTATTTTTATACCTTTTGAAGTAAATGGCAGTAATTCTTGTATTTTTCTTCCAATAGTTAAGCATAAAATCATTTCGGCTCAGTATTTGCTTGCAGTTTCTTTTGTTGATAGAAAATTTTCAAATAATGAAATGTTTCCATTTGTTGAGTTTTGACATATTTAACCCAAGTTTATCAAACTAGAGAATATTAGTATCATTTCAGGAAGTTCTGTGCTGCCTCTTCAAGTCAGTTTCTGCCTTGATCCTGTAGAGTTTTATTTATTTTTTAAAGAAAATTTCCAGTGAGGGTTAGATTTTCTTGTTTTAACCTAGCTAATTTGTCAACATTTAAGATTCTATTTGAGGGTCAGTTCCTCCAGGAAATCTTCTAGCTTTCCAGTTTTCATTTAGAAATTTCCTCACTGGCTTTTATAGCTCAACTTCAATCTCATTACACAAGGAGAATACTGTTCTAGTACACATCATATCATACTGTAAGTAACATTGTTTGGCTCCTGCTAGACTTTAAACTCACTCATGAGTTGATACCATACTTGACATGTAGTAGGTATTCAGTGAAAGCTTGTGGCTTTAAAAAATTAAAAGAATATGTAAATGTCAAAGAATTGTTGGTATAAGAGAAGTATAAGAGAGTTAAATTGATAATCCAGGAATAGTATTTGATTTGTAAAATTTTGTACTAGTTCATCATTAATGCTTATTAAATGGATTCTGTGTGTTTGTACCACGTTTTTGACAAAGAAGGACTGTTGAATCTTGAGTATGATCTCTAGAAATATGTACAACCTAAAGTACTTGAGTTAGACATACATAATGGGTGATGGAGTCTTATCTTAGGTTTTGAATAAGTAACTAAAAAAGTCTTCATTTAATTTGCTCGTATTTTAAAACCTCCATTTCTGTTTTTCTCTCTTGCATATATTCCCCTTTTTTTCTTAACCCATCTTAACCTGGCAGTACATTTGGCCTGGTAGATTCAGATGGACCTTGCTATGCAGTAATGGTATATAACATGGTACAGAGCTGGGGAGTGCTCATTGGGGACTCCGTGGCCATCCCTGAGCCCAACCTTCGACCTCACCGAATTCAGCACAGGGGAAAGGTGAGTAAAGCTTAGAATTTTATCACCTTTCAAAGGCTCTGGATTTAGACCCAAGTTTATAAATTTTTAATATTATAGGAATAAAAGGGAAACTATTACTAAGGAGAAATAGATAAAGAACTATCATTAAAATGTTAAAAGCTTTGTATATATAGTGTCTGTCTGTCTGTCTGTCTGTCTGTCTGTCTGTCTATCTATCTATCTATCTATCTCCCAGTCTTTCTTTCATTTTATAAGTATGTTGATATTGATACCTTTGACTTGTGATACTGCCGAAGAGCACTAAATACCCCATGGACTGCCAAAAAAACCTGAATCAGTCAGAATGCCTCTTAGAGGGAAGAATGGTAAGACTTCCTGTCACATATTTTGGGCATGATGTTAGGAGGAGCCAGTTCTTTAGAGAAAGATGATATACTCAGAAAAGTGGAGGGTCAACGAAAGAGGGGAAGACCTTCAATGAGATGGATTCACATAGTAATTGTAAAAACAGGCTCTGGTGTGGCAAAGATGATGAGGATGGTACAAGATGTGACAGGTTTCAGATCTAATATGTATGGGGTCGCTATGAGTTGTACTTGACTCAATGACACCTAATCACAACAGGATTTTAAATTGTAAGTAGGTTATTATATATAAATGTCTGAATATTTCTCAACAATTTTACATATTCCACAGCAGTGTTTTGAATTGGTACATGTTATTGCTGGTCATAGCAATGATTAGGATGGCTAACATTGACAGAACACTTAACTGAGTGCTAGGGCACTGTGCTAGGGCACTTTACAGGGTAGGTTTCCAACACTTCTTCACCATCTAGATGAGGAGTCGGTCATCCATTAAATCTGGCCTACAACTCATTTTATGTTGTGTGTGAGCTAAGAATGATTTTTACATTTTCACTAGATTAAAAAATTAAAGATAATTCATTGTGACACATGGGAATTATAAGAAATGTAAAATTTATTGGAATATGGCTTTTTTTTTAAACATAGCTCCTTTTGTTAACTATTTTGAACTATGGTGACAAAGCTTAAAAGTTCTGTAACAGAGACTGTATGGCCTACAAAGGCTATCATATATATTATTTGGTCCTTAAGAAAAAATTTGATGTTCTTGTATCTAGATTATTTCTGATTTTGCCCTGTTATAAAAAATAGTAAACATTTTTGTATATTTGTCCATATCCATGATTATTTTCATTGTTGTTGTTGTTATGTGCCGTCGAGTCGTTTGTGACTCAATAGCGACCCTATGTACAACAGCCCTAAACCGTGCTCTATCCTGTGCTAATCTCATTGCCTCTGACACACCCATCCCTATTGCCCCAGTCACTGAATCAGTCCACCTCATAGAGGGTCTTCCCCTCCTGTGCTGTCCCTCTACTCTACCCAGCATGATGTCCCTCTCTAAAGACCTGTCTCTCCTTACAACATGTCCAAAGTATGTCAGATGAAGCCCCAGAATCCTTGCCTCCAAGGAGCAGTCTGGTTTAATCCTCTCTACGATGAATCTGTTTGTTTTCTTGGCAGTCCATGGTACATTCAATACTCTTCTCCATTAGTGAGTTTTTAAAGCAGAATTCTAGATCCAATGGTGTGCAGAATTCTGTCTTTTATATATGTTGCCAAATTACTCTTTGGAAGGTTCTGTCATTTCATATCAAGAATATGAATCAGGTTGCCAATTCTATGTAGAAATCTTTGAATATTTGTTATGTGCCGTTAAGTTGCTTGCATCTCATAGGAAGACTATGTACAACAGCCCTGAAGCCTTTTCTATCTTGAGCCAACTTTATTGTCCCTGACCCCCCTAACCCCATTATGCCAGTCACTAAGTCAATCCATATCATCCACGGTCTTCCTCTTTAGCACTGTCCCTACATCCTTTCAAACATGATGTCTCCTCCTTGCAACATGCCCAAAGTATATCAGCTGTAGCTTGAAAATCCTTACTTCCCAAGGAGTAGACTGGTTTCACCCTCTCTAGGATGAGTCTATTTGTTCTCTTAGCAATCTCTGGTATATTTAATACTCTTCTCAGCACTGCAACTCAAAGGCATGGATTCTTTTTCTGTCATCCTTTGTCATCATCCAGCTGTCTGATGGTTAGGAAGTAATTATGAAGACCATGGACTGGTGTAGCTTAGTCTCCAGACTGACATCATTGCTCTTCAGTTCTCTTGAGAGGTCTCTGACAGATTTTTTCTGTTGCAGTTCATCTTTTGATTTTCTGACTGCTGGTACCAAGAGTGTTGAAAAATTTTTACTTGTTAATTTTATATAAAAAATATAGCATTAAGAATGATTTAATGTAATTCTTGACTGTTGATGAAGTGGAATACTTTTTCATGTTTCTCAACTGTATTCTTTTTAGAAGTTGCCAGTGTTGTCATTTATTCGTATTCCTGTTAGGGTTATTTTTAAGCTAACTTATAAAAACTCTTTTTAAGTTACCTCCTTACTTTGATTTAAAAGAGCCCTTTTAAACTTTGAATGGAACAGATTTTTTTTTTAGTGTGTCTTTTAAACATTCTTTGCAAAATCAACTTGAACTAGTAAAATGAACTTACATAGTTAGGAAAGTGTTTTACTTCTCCTTTTGTTTTTTTCTTGTTGATATTAAAAGAGAGAAGTAACTTTATTTCATAGTTGGCAGATTAATTGAGGGCCTCACTAACACTTGCTGTTTGTTTTCCTTGCTCCGGCTAGCACTTTGTGTGCCTGATTATCTACATTCATTGTGGGGAGGGCAGCTTTTGGGAAAGCTGGAGACATCCTTTTGTGAGGCAGTACCTGGAACCTTTCTTTTTTGAATCAGATAATTGTTCCCTTCTCTTTGTGACTCAGCTGATACCCTGTCTGGCCCACATTTTCCTTTTGAAGATTGAAAACTTTGAGAAAAGGGAGTAAGGGATAGATATGTTCTAAGTGGGAAAGGGTGAAAGTTATAGGTAGTATCTCTCCATGCTAGAATTTCTTCCATGGTAAAATCTGTATTGAACCTCTGTGTGTCTGTCTGTTTTAGGAGTATTCCTTCCCGAGTGTTCGGGTTGAGACACCTCTCCTGCTAGTGGTGAATGGAAAGCCTCAGTGCTCCAGCAGTCAGGCTGCTGCCACAGTAGCATCTCGGCCTCAGTGTGAATGACCTTCGTTGACTCAGAAGCTAAAAGTACAGATGAGAAGATAAGCTCAACGGACTTGGCGGCTGGACCAGCCATGTGCAGTGACTCAACTTGTGGTGGAGTTGGGGATGTTTTAGATGAAGACTTCCTTCCTCTGCCTAAAAGAAACACTGTGTCTCTTCTTTCTCTTTTTTGTTTGAGCTCCATCCAGGGCTGCATATTTTACTGCTGTTTCTCCTGCCTCTTTTTATTGCTCTCTCTGTTTTAGCAAAGAGCGTTGAATTCATAGAAGTGTTGGGATCTTGCTATGGGACAGAGTCCCTCAGATTCCTGTTCTTGCCTCCTTCCTGAGCCTCATGTATATATATATATATCAGTTCAGTATTTATTGCTAAGGGAGGGGGTTTAATTTTTTGATGGCTTGATTTTTGAGCAATTTTTTAATTTTAATTTTTTATTTTAAAAATTTAGAACCTTTCCCTTTTTGGGGTTTGAATTAAATACATTTGGAAAAAAAAGCAAACCTTGTGGCTAGACTGCTTTATTTTCTCTAGGCTTGAATTCTTCATTTTGGAAATCTTTAAATCTAGGGAGCTCTGGTAACTTAATGATAAGGAGTTCTGTTGCCAACCCAAAGGAATATGGTTCAGGTCCATCAACTGCTGTGTGGGAGAAGGATGGGTGTCTCTTCCTGTGTTGTTTCCTGTGTCTGAAAATCTCCTGCATGACCAGCTATGAGTTGGTTCGGATGACACATAACATTAACAACAACATTAGAGTAATACTATCTTAATTATTTATGCAAAATTGTTTATCTTTCAGTTAAAGGAATTCTGGTTAATAGGCAACTCAAAAAAACCCCCAAAAGAAGTTTTCATAGTAGCTGGGAATGAGCTTCTTTTCATTACCCATTTCTATCTCTAGTAGAGATCTGGCCCTCATCATCAGAATTAGAGAACGGGAAAATATGAGTGTTAAAGATGGAAAACAAGAGATCTAGTAACTATTCCCTTTTTATTTAAGTTCTGAGACAATTTGACATTTTGTGCAGGGCGATGGCCAGTCATTAGAAATGAAAGAAGCAGAAAGTGTGAAAATATGTAACTACAGTTTAAAAAATAGTTACAAAACTCATAAAATGTCTAGCTACCTTAAAACCTGGCACATCACTAGCAGTTTAGAAGCCATTGTGTGCCTTTTTCACGGCCATATTTAGATAATTTTATGATTATGTCACAATTTATTCACCCTGTTGATAAAAGAGTATTTGTAGTTTTTACTTTACCATCTGAGTAACCAAACACTCAACAAAACTGTTGCTGTTCAGTCAATTCTGACTCCTAGTAACCCCATATAACAGAGAAGAACTGCTCCATAAGGTTTTCTTGACTGTAATGTTTATGAAAGCAAATCACCAGGCCTTTCTTCCACAGCACAACTGGGGAGCTTTGAAATGCCAACCTTTTGGTTAACGGACAAGGACAAACTATTATGCTAACTTGAAACTTTATTAACAAAGTTATGCATTATTGATGTTCTTGTATACATTCTAATGTACAAACATAAAGCTTTCTCTTACAGCAACGGGTGTCAAAAAGATCCCTAGAATAGCATCACTATCACTTTGTTGTTGTTGTTGTTTTTTTTTTTTTTTTGGCTGACATAGAAGAATTTAATAAAACAATTTATGTTCAAGGGGCAATGATGATGAAGATAGGAATTAGCAAAAAAAAGGCCTCAGGAATTGAGGGTATACTAATGATGTATTTCAACAAAAAGATGCAGACCTTTACGTGCTTGCCAGACTGTGCCAAGAAATGTGGAGCACAGCTACCTGTCAATTGAATGGAAGAGAGCCATTATTTATTCCTATTCCAAAATAAGGTGCTCTGACAGAGGATCATCACTATCACTTTGAACTTCTTTTGTTCTTATTTTCTGTGGAGTTGGATTTGACTCATAGCTGACCCTTCAGTGATTACTTAGAGGAAGTAACTGTCACAGAAGAGTGACCATCTTTTTCCTCCCTTAGAACAGCTGGTAGAGTTAAACTGGAGTGCTTTTGGGTTGGCAGCACAGTTTCTTACCTCTAAGCCACCAGAATCTCCATACCTCTTCAATCTGTCTGCAGAACAGATCATTTGGGAGGCTGGACTTTATGAGGAGGAATGTGACATCAGGATTGGAGGAAGACTCATCAACAAGCTAGGTTACGTAGAAGATACAACTTTGCTTGCTGAAACTGAGGAGGACATGAAGCATTTGCTGCAGGAGGTCAAGGATGATAGTCTACAATATAGATTGAAGCTCAACATCAGGAAAACAAAAGAATCTCACCACTGGGCCATTTGGCAGCTTCATGATGGATAGAGAATAGATTGAGATTGTTGACAACTTTAGCTTGCATGGTTCCACAATCAACACTCTTGGCACCAGCAGTCAGGAAATTAAAAGATGAATTGCATTGGGAAAGTTTGCTGTCAGGGACATCTCTAGAGTACTGAAAAGCAACAATGCCAGTCTGGAAACTAAGGTGTGCCTGATCCAGGGCATGGTCTTCACAATTACTTGCTATGCATCAGAGAACTGGACAATGACTAAAGAATGATAGAAGAATTGATGCCTTTGAGTTGTGGTGCTGGAGAAGAGTGTTGAATATACTGTGGACTGTTAGGAGAACAACCAGGTTTGTCTTGGAGAGGGTGAAACCAAATTTCTCCTTGGAGACAAGGATTTTGAAGTTCCATCTCACATACTTTGGGTACGTGGCCAGGAGAAACCAGTCCTTGGGAGGGACATCATTCTTGGAAGGGTGGAAGGACAGTGTGGGAGAGGAAGACTCAATAAGAGATGGGTTGACTCAAGTGACTGGAAAAGTGGGTCTGTCAGAGATGATGAGATTGGTTTAGATTAGAGCAGGGTTCAGAGCTGTTGTACATAGGGTTGCTGTGAATCAAGGGGAGTTGATGGCACTTTACAAGTCAAACCCCCGGAACTCCATTCAAACTTAGAAATATAAAGTCTCAGGGCACTGATGAGAAAGTTCACTGATGAGGAAGGCAGGGAGTTGCCTTGCTGATTCAAAGGTCATACCTCTCTGGCAGTTTGAATTCACCTGTGACTCTTTGAAAGAAAGATAAGTTGTAGAATCCCATGCATTCTTACAGCTTTAGAAGTCACCAGAGAGTCAACTATGAGTTGGCTCCTACTTAATAGCAATGAAAGAAAATCTAAACTGAATCAGAAAATTTGGAGACTAGCCCAGAGATTAGTCTCACAAAGCTCTCTAGATGAGTCTGAGGCAAAATGTTGAATACTACTAAACAATGTTGACTTAAGAATGGAATCACTGAACTGTAGTATGTATAAATGCCCAGCTTTTTAGAAAAATGCCAACTATTTCCAAAATATTTGGACTAATTTCTGTCCTAGAACTATATGAGCCTTTTTAATGCTCCCATCCTCTTGTATGCTTACTAGTGTAATTTTAAAAAATAGGCATTTTTGGTGAAAGTGCACATGGCAAAACAAGTTCCCATTCAACAATTGCAGTATTATTCAGTGACATTGGTTACAATCTTCACATTATTTCAACCTTCTAATTACTTGTTTTCTGTTTGCTCTGTTCCTAACTACCTACTCTCACTGTCCTACAACCTTCTTAGTTTTGCTTTAGTGTAATTGTTGGTTGTTTTGCCTCACTTATACACAGACATAGTTTTTTAAAGGCACACAGTACTTGACATTTTGTTCTGAAGTTTTTTTTCATTTGTTCATTTAACAATATATCACACAAAAAATTACATTCTACAACCACATACAACTCTTTTCTTTCTCATTTACAATCAAAAGATTACTGAGTCCAGAGGAACTGATATAATCATTGTAGGGAACCTACTATATTTCAGTAGTTTCCATTTCTTCTTTTATACTCTAACACATCTTCGTTATATTGGTTTATTAGATAGCCCCACAAGAAGGCTTCAGTGCCCAATGTCAGTCCAACTTTCACCCAATTATGTTTACTGTTTGGTGGTTCCTGAAGGCAGAATAGTCCAACAGCCAAGAAAAGGAGCACAGCATGAAAGATCTTACTGGTCACGCTCTGCTTCTCGAGATTTTTTTTTTTTTTAATGCGTGAATTGATGCCTTTGAGTTGTTGGAGAAAACAGCGTTGAACATACCATGGACTGCCAAGGAAACTAACAGATCTGTCCTGGAGAGGGTGAAGCCGAACTGTTCCTTGGTGAAGGAAAACAAGGAGATTTAGACTTTGTCTTACGTACTTTCGGCATGTTGCCAGGAGGGATCAGTCCTTGGAAAGGGACATCGTGTGATGGCACAGGACAGGAAAACCCTCGAACTGGATTGACAGTAACTGGGGTAATGAGGGTAGGTGTGTCAGACCGTGAGATTGGCTCAGGATAGGACAGGGTTCAGAGCTATTGTATATTGGTTGCTATGAGGTATGGTCAACTTGACAACACAATAACAATCTGCTAAAAGGTGACTTCACGTGATAGTTTTGATTCAGAGTTCAAAGGGTATCTCAGGGAAATGGTCTCATGAATTTCTGCAGTCATAAGTGCTCTAGTGAAGTCCATCCTAGAGAGGGTGAAGCCAGGCTTCTCCTTGGAGGCAAGGATTTTGAAGCTTTGACATACTTTGGGCATATTGCCAGGAGGGACCAATACTTGGAGAGGGACAGCACAAGAAAGGAAGATCCTAGATGAGATGGATTGACTCAGTGCTGGTGACTTGACAGCACCTAACAGTAATTAGAAGTCTGTTGTATATTTTCCTCTTTATCAGTATTGTCATAGGTTTTAAAAAGATGCTTTGTTGAGAATAAGATTGCAAAAGACATTTTTTTTTTTGCATATGCCATAAGGGGATACTGATTATATTCTTAGTTTTGCAACCATTCCTACTCTTTTCTATATTTTCTTCCTTTATTAATATAATTCATAGCCTTGTGATTTCCTTCTATCTTTTAAGTTGTGTTTTTGTCACCTTGATCCCACACAAATCTTTAAAATGCATAATACTCAAGGCAAACGTGTTTTCTAAAGCTAAACTACAGTGTTAAGCCTCATTTCTTGTCATTGATGTCAACTACCAATCTTACTTTCATGACAGAGATGAGGCTAGATGTTGAATGATAGAATTTTGCACAATTATTTATTTGTTGAAAATACTTTTTTAAAAGCTGTTGTGATTTTAGGGAACTCTGGTGGCCTACTGGCAAGACGTAGCGCTGCAATCCCGAAGACTGCTCTGTGGAAGAAGGATGGGCAGTCTCCTCCCATGTAATTAACTGCTTCTGAAAACCTGCTGGAGGGTCAGCTATGGGTCTGTTTCCGATCAATGGTATACAACAACATTGTGATTTTAACATAAGTTGAGAGAAAAGTTGGATTTTCATTCATACATTGTTGCACATTTTCCTCCCTCCCTGCTCCCCACCCCCAGTTCACTTAAAATATTTATTGGCAAATGTTTCTTTTATTAAAAAAAAAAAGTAACAGTGACTATTCGCATAGATGTTACAGACCTGGATTGACTACATCTGTGAAGAGACCATTAAGCAACTCAATACCAGTAGTCAAAACAAGGCTAGGAATTGACTGCGGAATAGACCATAAATTACTTCTCTACAAGCTGAAATTGAAAGTGGAGGAAAACAAGCATACAAGAGGAATACTGTGACCTTTGAGTTTATCTCAAATGGAAAAAATAATCTCAAGAATAGATGGGATCCAGCAACAATAGCAGTGTTCAACAGGGCAGCCAACAACAAATGCTGGCAAAATTGTGGTGAGATCAGAACTCTTATTCACTGCTCGTGGGAGTGTGAAATGGTACAGCTTATGGATGGATGGTGGTCTGGTGCTTTTTCAAAAAGTTGGAAATAGAAATACTATTTGACTCAGTAATTCACCACGGGGAATATACCCTAAAGAAACCACAGCCATGACTCAAATAGATGTATACACATCCATGTATATTGCTGCATTATTCACAATAGCAAAAGAGGCAGAAGCAACCTAAGTGCTCATCAAAAAATGAATGGATAGAAAAACTATGGTATATCCACACAATGGAATATTATGCAGCATTGAAAAATTTTATGTTGTGGATTAGGACTTCTAGAGTTCTTCCAAGCTTTTCTTTAATGAAGTTTATAGTCTTTGGTTTTAGTCCTAGGCCCATAATACACTTTGAATTGGTTTTTGAATATGGAATGATGTGTGGATCTTGCTTGAGTTTTCTGCAGGTAGTTTTCCAATTTTGCCAACACCATTTGTTAAAAAGGCTGTCATTTCCCCATTTAACAGATTTCATCTCCTTGTCAAAAATCAGTTGACCATAGGTAGATAGGCTGTTGTGGCTTTGTTAGCAATAGCAAAGAGCAGGAAACAACCCAAGTGCCCATCAACAAACAAGTGGATAGAGAAGCTTTGGTATATTCACACAATGGAATACTATGCAGCACTGAAAAATAAGGAACTCATGAAATATCACGCAAAATGGATGACCCTGGAGGACATTATGCTGAGTGAAATATCTCAGTCACAAAAGGACAAATATTGCATAAGGCCACTGTTGTAAAATGGGACTGACATCAGTGTTGAGGGAAGGCAGAGAAGGAGGGGAGTAATGATATATATTGCATTAAAACAGATGAGGGAGAGAACTGTTTAAAAGGGTTATGATTGGGTATTGTCATGACAGGAGTCCAGAATGAAGGCTGCACAGTGGAGTGGACTTGGAGGTAGGGATTATGTAACAATGAAAGAATTTTTCTTTTACTTTTCAAGAAGAGTGAATTTTGGGGGGAATGGGGTGGGCAGGGAGAAAAGTGCAACAATGAATGACTGGAAACCCTAAGTCTCTCTAAACTTTCATTAAAATTAAAGAAAAATGAACTTGTAAAACATTACATAACGGTGCAACCACTGTGGAAGGCGGTATGGCGCTTTCTCAACAAGTTGCAAATAGAGATACCATTTGACCCAGAAATTCCACTACTGGGAATACACCCCAAAGAGACCATAACTGACATCCAGGCAGATATATGCACACCCATGTTTCTTGCAGCTTTGTTCACAATAGGAAGGAGCTGGAAACAACCTAAATGCCCATCAACAAATGAATGGATAGAGATGCTGTGGTATATTCACACAATGAGATACTATGCTGCATTGAAAAACAAGGAACTCACACAATATTATTCAAAATGGGTGAGCCTGGAGGACATTATGCTGAGTGAAGTATCTCAATCACATGAGGACAAATACTGCATGGTGCCACTGTTGTAAAAAAGGACTGACCTCGAGGTTTGGGGGAGACTGAGAAAGATGGGATAAATAATGTATACTGTATTGAAACAGATGAGAGAAAACTGTTTAAAAGGGATATGTGATTAGGTATTTTTGTCATGACAGGAGTCCAGAGCGAAGGCTGCATAGTGGAGTGGACCTGGGAGGAGGGATTGTAAAACAATGAAAGAAATTTTTTTCCTTTTCAAAGAGGTTAGTGTACTAGAGGGGAGAAAAGTGCAACAATGAATGATTGGAAATCCAAAGTCTGTAAATTTTCATTGAAATTAATAAATTAAAAAAAATTACACAACCTGGAGACTTGAGGACATTTTCCTGAGTGAAATATCTCAGTCATTAAATACAAATGCTGCATAACACTGCTGTTATAAAATAGGACAGACATAGGGGAATTGGGGAGAGAATGAGAAAAGAGTGGACAGATAGTGAACACTACAATAGAACTGATGAGGTGAAGAACTGTTTGAAAGGAATATATGATTAGAAATACTACAACAATCTGAAAGATTGCCTGGGGCAAAGGAGAGGGGAAAGGGGAAGAAAATGCAACAAAGAGAAAAAAAATTAAAACAATTTGGATGTTAAAGAGTAGACAGGAAACATTGAACACCAATGGCAGAAGACTAGACAAGTAGTGGGATGACATCTAAGACATCATGAAGAAGAGACTGAAACTTGCATTTGTTGTTGTTGTTTTGTGCAGTCGAGTAGTTTGCGACTCATAGCGACCCTATGTACAACAGCCTTAAACCCTGCTCTATCCTCTGCCAATCGCACTGCCTCTGACACACCCATCCCGATTAACCCAGTCACTGAATCAGTCTATCTCATAGAGGGTCTTACCCTCTTGTGCCGTCCCTCGTCAAACCCAAGAAGAAAGCTCAACATGTTTCAAAGGGCAGCTTGAGAAGATAAAGCAAATGATAATGAAAGGTTCAAAAAGATGAGTTAGAAAAAGGAAAGTGAAGAACAGTCACCATTTCTCAAGCTTAAAAAACTGGAGAACAAATTCAAGCCTTGGATTGCAATACTGAAAGATTTATGGTCAAAAACTTGAAGGATACAAGAAGCATCAAAAGAACATGGAAGGAATACACACAATCATTTTACCAAAAAGAATTGGTCAACACTGAACCATTTCAAGTGGTTGCATATGGTTAAGAATCAGTGGTAAAGGTCAAGCTACAGTGAAAGCAATGGGGGAAATAAAAAGCTCCAGGAATTGATGGAATGCCAACTGAGATATTTTAACAAACATGCAATTCTGTACATGCTCATTAGTCTATGCTAAAAAAAAAATCATAGAAGATAGCTTACTTGAGTAACTGTGTAGGGAAATTACTGAACAATATCAACATGAAAAACAATGGATTTATTTTACTTTTAACAATCCTGCTAAAGATTATTTTAAAAAATGGCTGAACAGTACATAGACAAGGAACTTTCAGAAATTCAAGCTGGATTAAGAAGAGTGTCAGATGAATCTTGTCTGAAAGTAGAGAATGTTTCTCAAATGATGGCCAACGTTGAGAAGAATGAGAAGCCCAGACCACTTAATTGTGGTCATTAGCAACCTATATGTAGATCTATGCAAGAAGTAGTTGTCCAAACAGAACAAGGGAACCAGTGCTTTGTTTAGAATCAGAAAAGGTGAGAACTAAGGTTGTATCCTTTCTCTATATGCTGAGCAAATCATACAAGAAACTGGACCCCTTCATTATTCAAAAGAAGTAGCACTTACTGAAGAAGATAAAAGACTACATATAGTCTTCAGTTTGGATTACATCTTAACATTAAGAAAACAAAAATCCTCATCACCAGACCAATACACAACATGATGGATGGAGAAAAGATTGAGGTTTTCAACTATTTCATTTTAGTTGGATCAACAATCAACAAGAAATGCTGAATTAAGGAAGTTTGCTGTTAAGGACCTCTTCAGAGTGCTAAAG